GCAGATTTTCACATTCCTAAAAATCTCATAAACACTAACATATATCAATTTGAAATCTAGTGTTGTGAATATGTTAATGGGAGAATATTAACCTTCAATTGTAGTGGCCAGATACTTAAGTTTTTTAAAAAATGTGCATATTAGCATTCTGCAATAATTTTTCTCCTGGGAAATATACATAATCTTAAATATTTTAGTTAAGACTATTACCATAAGAAATTTGAAGATAATTTGAATGTATTTTATTCAAAGGGCAGCTAGGTGGCTCAGTGGATAGAGTGCCAGGCCTGGAGTCAGGAAGACTCATCTTCCTGAGTTCAAATCTAGATTCAGACACTTAACAGATATGTAACCCCACTGGACAAGTCACTTAACCCTGTTTGCCTCAGTTTCCTCATCTGTAAAATAACCTGGAGAAGAAAACTGCAAACCACTCTAGTATCTTTGCCAAGAAAACCCCAAATAGGGTCATGAAGAGTTGGACAGGGTTGAAAAATGATTGAACAAAAAAACTGTATTCAAAAATAAGGAAAAACTCTCAAATATAGTTTTCTTCCAAATCATCTTATTTCCACTGTCACAGACTGGGAGAGTAAGCTGTTAGAAAGTTTATACAGGGCATTTTTGGCACTTCTGAAATATCGCACAACATGAAGGAAAATAGCTCTCTCTATACTCTGGTACACAGCAACTACTCAACTACTTGGGTCCCACAGTCCCAAAACAGTATGTGTTTAGAAGTAGGCTGAATAAAAAGATAGCACTCTGACGGATGGGTTTACTGATCTCCCTGGGATGTCACATGGGGATATTCCAAGTGCACATTTTCTATACACACAGATGTTGCTGAGTTACAAAATGACAAGTTTATCTCTAGGTGGAAGTCAGCTGAGTCTGCAGCCATAGCCACAAAATAATCTGGGGAGTCTGCATGGGACTACTTTACCCTCTTCAACATGGCACTGTAGCACCCTCCGGAGCTCAAGAGAAGAACAACTGGTTCATTACTAAATGCCTATATGTGTTGATTTGAATCCTCTTTGAGTTAGTTCAAGTTTTTAAAAAAACATTTTGAAGCAGCTTCACAGATAGCTGCTAACAGGGAAACTAAGATTTGTAAGCAGACACAAGATTTTCTTGAGCTCACGGGTCTCCAGATGATAAGAGTTAAAGAAAGACACAGCACTGGTACAGAGATGGGCTGTGACAGCTTGGCTCAATCTGGGTATGTGCTTCTACAGCCCATTAATTGCTTTCCCTTGCCCCTTACTACCCATTCCAAAGTTCACCGGACTCTTTATTAATACCAAGAAATTCCAGGCTGTTGAGCATGAGAGAGAAACATCGGGATTTAGGTTTACTTGTATTTTACTTGGTTATATTATGTTTCCATTTGGCTGATAAGTTTAAATACTAAAAAGGCCAGAATTCAATTCTTATGATTTTTGTATTTTTAGAAGTCAAGCTAAACAGATGAGAGACAACATGGCACAATGAATAAAGAGCTGACTTGGGAAGTCAAGAAGACCTGGGCTTAAGTTCCACTTCTGACATTTAATGGCTGAGTGACCCTAAACAAATCACTTAACTTCTCAATACCTCCAGACCACTCCCTAAAACTACTTCACAGAAGGAACAGGACTACATTGGTAGAGGACGTCCCTCACAGGAAGCTCCCTTCCTGAATAAAATAACAAGCCCAGTTAAAAAAATCAGGCATAAATATCTTTTCATTAACAAATCCAACCAATAAATGAAATAGATCTGTCATCATTTATCTAACAATTTGTTTTCACCATTAATAACAGTACAACCACTCAGTTTGGACTCAGCACCTTGGTACTTGATGTATTACGTAAGGAAATGGAAATATCATTTAAGAAAATAAAATTGGGAAGAGCAGATGTAGCAAACCAAATACATAGAGAGAAAAAACCACACTAGAAGCAATGTGATCTTGAGAAAACTGGGGGATGTTTCAAGGAGGGGGAAACACCAAAAAATGGAATTATTCGCAAAGTCTTATTGTTTCTATCTCTACCCTATCACCCACAACTGTTCTCTTCTCTCTGTTTAAACAGTCATCACTACCTCAGTTTAGGCCCTTATCATCTCTCACTTGCACTACTGGGCTTTTCTCTTCCCTCTACAGTAGGGGTGTCAAACTCAAATAGAAACAGAGAATATTAATTTATACAGAAGGATCTTTGTGGGCCACATATTGACTTAGAATACATATTAACATTATCTATGATTTATTAGATTTTTATTTATTTTATTAAATATTTCCCCATTACATTTTAATCTGGTTTGCGCTGCACTTGGGAGTGTTGTGGATCACATGTGGTCAAAAGGCTGCATGTTTGACATTTCTGTCCTACAGTGTCTTTCTTCATGACCTCATCACCTGTATGTGCAATTATCATCTCTATGCAGATGAAATTCAGATATACATATACAGTCTCAGTTTCTTTCCTGGATTTTAGTTCTACAACATCAATTGCCTATTAGACATTTTGAACTTGATGTCTCATAGACATCTCAAACTCAAAGTGTCAAAATCAGAACTTATTATTCTTTCCTCTAAACCAATCTATCTTCTAAACTACCAAAATTTTTTCCAAGAGTGCCACTATCCTTCCAATCACCCAGTTTTGTAATATCAGTCATTCTAATTCCTCATTCTCATTTGTCTGACATATCTAACCCATTACCAAGTCTTGTTGATTCTACCTATACATCTACCTATACATCCCCTTCTCTCTGCTCAGAGAGTTATCATGCACTTGGATTACTGCAACAGACCACCCTTTCTCAAATCTCTCCCCTTTCCAATTAGTCCTTTGTAGTTAGAAAGTATAAAATTGATATTCCCAAAGGAGAGGTCTCATTACATTACTCCCCTACTCAATAAACTCCAGTGACTCTACATTACCCCAGCACCAAATACAAACTCCTCTGTTGGACACTTCATAATCAAGTTTCAACTACCTTTCTTGATATCCTGTGGATCCCTATAGCCTACTTTAAAAACATCCTTAAAAGGTAGGAATACAAGAACTATTTAATGCCACTTTTTATAAATTCATGTATTTTTGAAGGCAGAACATTACATTTAAGTGCCAGACATCAGGAAGTACTTGGGGCAGGAAGATTTAGGTTTGAATTCCACCTTAAAAACTGTGTTACCTTGGGCAAGTCACTTAAACCTCCTTAAGAATCAGTTTTCTCATCTGTAAAATAAAGATACTTGAACCCATCTCTCAGAGTTGTGAGGATGAGACTGGATAACAATGTTTTGTAAAAACATCATTTTTGTACAGTATTTTGTAAGCCTTAAGACACCACATAAATGTCAGCTTTATCATCATCGGAATCTTCATCATCATCTTCATCATCATCAATTTTGTGAAGAGTCAAGTCACATATTATAATGAAGTATCAATACCTCTGGGAGACACAAAGGGCCAACACATTTTCAAACCCTGCCTAAGATC